ACGATTGATGTCAGAACATACATCTCTGATCAAGCACAAAAGCACGGACCGTACGCAGCACAACGCTGCCGACCCGTCGCACATCATAGGCATACGTAAGATATACACCGAATGTATGCATGACGCGCACGGGGAAGTTGCACGTGCACATGTTGATTACACATCATATGAACGCATTGCAGGCGCACATAACAGGTGCACGCATCAGACATGTAGAACACAGTTTACACAGCAGACGTGCTCAACATACGTCCATGGCAAGTCACACAAATACAACATATTTAGACCCTGAATGACTATGAAGAAGCCGGGCCATATCTTACAATGTGATGTGTCGCACTGGGGAACGAAAAATCCGAAGTGCTGGACACGTGTGGCGTCGCGGCGTTACGCGTCGTGTCGCGACCAAGCGCAACAACGACCGTCTCAGCAACGACAGCCGTTAAGACAGAAAACGCAATAATAGCTTGGCAGCACGATCAGACGCATTGATATGTGCATCCCGAGGAAGGCTACGCAGGCATCACAGGCGTCGCAGCGGCCTGAGAGAAGCCAAGCGTTGCAACGACCAGTTGCATTGGTAAAAAGCGCGGTGGCTGATTGCATGAATGAGCCCGACACGTTCTATCCGTAAGGGCTTCGCCCCCTGCCGCCGGCCCCCTCTCTCGGAGAATGGGCCATGGAAGAGCTAAGTCATGAGGCCTTGGCGCTGTCGTGAAGCAGTATCGAAACTTCATGCGAAGCCGATTCGCAATCAGCAAAACCAACTGATCACAAGAGGGGTTACCACACCTGGCGATTGGTAAGACGTGTATGGTTTACGGGCTTGGTTACCACACCTTGCGATTAAAGGGCCGAGGGAGTTCTCGCAGTTTGGGTTACCACGCCTTGCGATGGATGTGCGTGAAGGGTGGCACCGAATTTCAGAAATGTGGCAAATCCCCTGTGTTTTTGGACCCTGACCCCGCGGATCTGCGTGAGGGGTGGCACCGAATTTCAGAAATGTGGCAAATCCCCTGTGTTTTTGGACCCTGACCCCGCGGATCTGCGTGAGGGGTGTCGATTTCGAGCCCCCCCAGCAATTCAGACAACGCGCCCAGGAGACGCTAAAAGTCTTGTTTGGGCCTCCCCCCCCTCGCGCGGTCAATCAACTAGTTACAGTAACCAGCAAGAAGTCAACTAGTTACAGTAACCAGCAAGAATCAGAACTGTAACACTGGAAACTACAAGCTACAACTGGTACTGGAAACTGCGAACCCGCGCCTACAGCCTGGTGGCCCCACAAGGGGGCCGGCGGATTTAAGCACCAGGGTAACGTACACACGTCACATGACAAGACGCATGCATGAGCACCATCCGTCAAGGCAGGCAGCGCGGCAATCTGAATTGAAACATGCAGACCATGACGAATTAGACACGACAGGCGTCTCGACGTCACGTTGGCCCGACAAGCACCAAGCGCAACGACTATGTTTTGCGAAACTATAGACAGTTTGACAAGACAACTAAGAGATTCCACGACTAATCAGAGATTGCTGGCATCACGACGTCGCGCCGTTCAGGTACACTTAATCAATTGTACCAGTGAACGCTCAGAAACGACAGGCGCTACGGCAAACAAATTAACAAGTTGATAAACAGTGGCATAATAATACATTGTTACGAATTGATTGCCTGAAATGGCATGACAGGAGTCACGACGTCACAGAAGCCCATTGTATCAACCTATGTGCATGTACACAAACTACGCGACAATTACCGATTTGGTATGACAGACGCCATGGCAAACAAACGTAGAAACACATACCGCATGTGAGCACAGAGTGGTAGAGACATTCCACCACTAACATGCACGACAGGCGTCATGCCGTCACGCCAGCGTGAGAAGAAACAAACGCTGCAACGACTTGAATAAGACGATTGGCGCCATGGCAGACATGTCTTGAGAAGCGGCCGCCTGCATGACAAGACAACGTGATGCGAGAATACCACGATGAATTCACCAGCACCCCGCCAGGCCCACACAACTCCCCGTCTGCTTGCCCACCCCATACGGCGAGGAGGGCGGAGAAGGCACGAAGACGGAGAGAGAACGGAGAAGGAGTGGGAGCATGAGGAGGCCGACGACGACGAGGCCGAGGCCGATGACGAGCAGGCGGATTGTGCTCAAAGTTGTTTCCCCTCGCAGGCTCTGCGGGGATACCCCCGATCTGTGTTCGCCGCTTGTGCTGCGGAAGCTTGGTCCCCAACTTCGAATTGCCTTGTGCTTCAGCACACAAGGAACAAATGAGCAGAGACAGCGTTGACGTGCATGTGGGGTAGCACCTCGCTCCGCTTCAGAGGTGACAGAAACGCCATACGGTCGGTCAAACTTTCTCGATACACCATGGTAGGTGTGCAAGCATCGGCGGGCGCCCAAACATGGTAAGTCCATCGCAACGTCTTGCTGGCGCGAGTGTTTTTTGTATCCAGCTTTCGACGGCAAGTCCCGCCGCCGTGCCTGGGCTGCGGTTCTGTAGCCTACTGGATGTTCGTTGGGATCTCGTGGGAAGCCTCCCGGGGGCCTCTCTGAAACAATTTGAGGCCTCTTGGGGACAGTTTCGGGCCCTCATGGGGCTTCTCGGGGCCCCCTGGGGTCTCTTGGGGCGGGAGGCCCGAATTTTAGGTTCATGTTCCCTCTCCTGGGCCCCTTCGGGGCCGTCTTGGAGTCCTCTTAGGGGCGCCTATTGGGCCGTCTTGGGGCGATCTGAGGCCTTCTTGGGGCCCTCTTGGAGGTCTTTTAGGAAGCCTTGGGGTGGTCGTAGGGGGGCCTCTTGGGTCGTCTTGGAGCGTCGGAAAGCCGAAAAGGCGAGAACGCCAACATATTTGAAACACCTAGGGGAAATCAATGATGTTTCCTTCTTGGGGCTCTCTTGGGAGGCCTCTTCGAGGCCTCTTGGGGCTTCTTGGAGGTCTCTTGGGCCATCTTGAGGCCACCTTGGGCGTCTTCGAGCGATCGTTCGGCGACTCGGGGCCCTCTCGGACCGTCTTGAGAGCCTCGTGGGCCGTGATGGAAGCCTGGGAAAGCCCAAAGGCGGCGCCACCAGAGACCCCCCGGCAACAGAGGTGGTGTAGTCGTGTAGTCGTGACCATTGGGGTCTGGAGGTTCCTTAGAAGACTACAGAAACCCTGCCAGGCAGCCCTTGGCATTCTTCCACGCCTCAACGTGCTGCGGGCACGGTGGCCGATTGCAAGAGATTGTCACGGTGTCGATGTTCGCGGGTTTGAGGAACGCAGTGTCCATGATGCAGCAGTCAGGGCCAGAGCGTTGGACAGAGAAGGGGGGATCAGATGTCATGGTTCACGCATTGAGTCACCGCTCGCACGTGTCGGCCCCAGGTGCATTGACACTTTGCAGGTTGAGGCAGCCGAGACCCGCGCTCCTGCTACTTCAGTCCAAGCAGCAGTTTCTCCCTCGCTCCTGCTGCTAGTCTGAGCTCGAGGGAAGCCTTGCCGTGGTCAATGTTGTTCTCCTTGTTGGCAGCATGGTGTTTTCTCCATTCATCCATTCGTCTTGCATGCGCCCCCCTGTTCTCCGTTGCCCGAAAGGGATCTCCTCGTCCAAAGAGCATTCATGTTTCCCTGCCGCCAACCAAGCGAGCGTACAAAGGCCTTGCACGGGCAGGTTCGCAATTTCCGTGATTCATGGTCAGCAGAACATTGCCCAGTTTGTTGGAGGAGTTTGGGGGTGGTGGTTGGCGCCCATGATTAGACGGCGATGGTTCACGCAGGTGTGGCAGAATGTTGAAGCTACCCTCAAGGGCGGTGCAGCTCCTGGGCCACGCGTTCCCATGCCTGTCAAGCGGGCCGAGCCCTGAGCTCGCGTAGGCAAGTTTTCTACACTCACGGGCAACGTTTGGCGGGGATAGGCTCAGAAGGAGAGACATCAACCCCCATTCGCCCATTCATCGCGGATAGGGGCATGAAAGCCCACCCAGCCTAGGAACATGTAGATCTGTCATCGGGGGCCCATCGTTGATCTATCGGCGACGTATCGCCAAGTCAAGCTCGATGTTTCCCCCCTGACTTAGTCCTCCTCGACCTGTGCCCATCACACACGCTGAGGGCGGCGTGAGCGCATCTTCGAGGCATCGCCTCAACACTGCGTTGTTTTGGCGGCCGCCAACGTGGGCGCGAAGACGGCCGCAGTCTGCAGTTCGAAGTCTAGAGGGGGGAGTGGGATTGAGCCAGAACCCTTAGTAATGGGAGCCGATTTGTGATTGAGCCCCGAAACCAAACAAAAGCAATTAGATTGAATCACTAAGCCAGGTCTGCCGTAGCTGGTGTTTCTTCGGGTGACTGCAGTTCCAGACAGTGGAATGATTCTGCTGCGGGGGTCGTCCCCCAGTGTACACATCATGAAACGGCCTGTTTGATCCAGTCCTGCCAAAGCCCGAGAGAGGGGCCCTTCTGCCAGGGGCCGATCGCGGTGATCGCGAGAGCGCGAAGGCAGCCACGCTCCTCGCGGCGCGGCGCACGAGGACGGGACGTCAATAGTTTGTAAACGAACCGGAACAGCAGATGCTCTGGGATGGTCGGCGCGTTCATTTGTTGTTGGGCCTTGAGTTTGCTGGGGGTCTGAGGTGGACACCAGCACTGGTTCCGGCCAACTTGGGGGGGGGGGAAGAGGTCTTGGATTGGAGCAGGGGTTTGCCTTTTTCGGTCTCCGGGACCTGTTCTCGGGCCCCAGGACCGTCGCAGTCGGACGTGGGGTGCAAGTTTGACCCAGGAGGGGTCCTGAGCGGATCTGCACTGAGCCCCCTGTTGTCTTGACCGATCTTCTCGGGACCAATCCAGTTCAGGCCCCTTGGCCGCCTCCAAGCTGGGCCCGACTTCTTGCCGAGCGTCCGCGACGGCGGCGCGTTCCCAACCTCCGCCCGTGGAAGATCGGCGATTGGGCCGAGCGCGCTCGTGCCTGCTGCCGCCCCCCAACAGGAGGGATCCGCTCCGACGCTGGACAGGCGCCAAGCGCCCCGCTGCTTTGGCTCCTCTCCTGAATGTGCACGGCGACCTTCGGAGGCCTCTGGAGAACTCCGAAGACCTTGGCAGACGGCTGAAAGCACACAGACCCAAAGACCACACACACGCACACACACACGCACACACACGCACACACACACACTTTTGGCGGTCGCGGCCTGGCGCGCAGCCTCGACGCGGAGAGAGCCCCCAAGCGGAAAGCGTGCGCGCGGCCAGCGCCTCAGAGAAGGGCAGGGGTCCCACCAGATCGACCATGCCATGCGCGTATCCGGGCATGGGCAGCGAGGGCGCAGGGGCGGGCCGCGAATTTGAGGAGCAAGAGGGCGCGCAGTACAGCAACGGCCAAGCTGAGTGACAAGCAGGGGAGGCAAGCGACAGATGGCAGGACGCCCGGGGTCGCCGCAGGCCAGGCGCCCGGGCAGAAAGCCAGGACGAGGCAGACCGCGAAACGGCGCAGTGGAAGAGGAACCCCGGCGACATGCCCAAAGCAGCACGTTGAGGCAGCCGCCGATGGGCCAACAGGGAAGCGATGAGTCACCGCAGGCGGCGGGAGGAAAACAGAAAGGGCAACGACTCTTGGGCAGCAGGGCGCGCCACTGAGAGGCGTTGCCAGGGTGAAAGGCGGCGACACCGCGTCCGGAACAGTGGGAAAGAGAGGCCCACGGTCGGACGCGAGCGGTAACACCGCACACCCGAGAGGGCTTGCTTCCATTAGGGAGGCGGAGCAGGCTGTGGATGCTCCACCGCGGCCAACACACGCACACATACACGCACACACGCACACACACACACACACACGCACCAACACAGACAAACACACACACACCAACACACACACACTCGCACACATATCACACACTTTTGGGGTCGTAGCGGCGCGGCGACTCGCCAGCGCGTCGTCGGGCGCCCGTACGGCCGGAGCCGTGCGCGCGCGCAGTGTCGTTGGGAAGGAAAGGGAAGACGGCCAGCCCCTCACGGGGCAGTGGGTGGCCGGGCGGCAGCGGGGCAGGCAGCGGGCAGCGGCCGCAGGGCGGCGGGGCAGTGAGCGCGGCAGGGGCCAGGGGCGGCGGAGGCGTGCGGGGCAGCGAGCAAGGAGTCCGCCGCGCCGGAACGGCGAGCGAAAAAGAGCGACACACACACACACGCATGCACGCGCATAGACATGATTCCTCGACGCGCAGCTGACTCCAAGCCGCGGGAGCATGGCATCGGGTCGCGAATGCCTCGAAGTGCTTTCTGGTGTGAAGAGATGCGGCATCGGAGGCTTGAAGCGCGCGTCGGGCGTACTAGGCCATCCTGAGCCCGAAAAACCGGGGCATGAAAAGCGACGGTGAAGCCATCGTGCCCAGCCAGAGGATCGGGTCGGGCGAAAGGGGGGGTTGGGGAAAGGGAGGTCACGAAATCTGCTGCATGTAGCTGGTTTCGGCCCCGCCGCCGGGCCCATTCCTCGATACATGGGCGCCTCCCGGCGCCGGGAGGCGCCGGTAAAATCAGCTACGTGAGCTGATTCTCAAACCCCCCCTTTGCTATCCCCCCTTTTTGCCCGGCCCGAGAGGAGGAGGGAGGAGGGAGGAGGAAGAGGAGGGCCACTGCAAGAACGGCGCCGAGAAGCGGCCGCGCCGCCGACGGCAGGCCCCGCCGAGGGCGCGAGGTGAAACAGCGGAAGCCAATATCGGGTCGGGCGAAAGGGCGGGATTGGGAAAGGGGGGGTTACGAAATTTGCTGCATGCAGCTGGTTTCGGCCTCACCGAGGGGCCCAATCCTCGATACATAGCCGCCTCTGGCGCCGGGAGGCGCCGGGAAAATCCGCTACGTGAGCTGATTCTCAAACCCCCCCTTTGCTATCCTCCCCTTTCGCCCGACCCGACAATAGTACGGGAGCGGCAGAAGAAGGCGAGAAAGTTGAGCGAGAGGCGGCAAACAAGATCAGGTAGTTGGGACGTCGGGCGATACCGGCCGCGTCCAATCCTGATTTGTAGGTCCATCGGCAGGCCAAGCCAGGTGAGCGTGAAGCGCGAACAGACGCCCACCGAGAAGGCACGGCCGAGGGAAGAGGGGACAAGAAGGAAGAGCTGGACGAGGAAGGACAGGTGGCTGGGAAGACCGGCGACAGCAGCCGTGCCCGTTGGGAAAGGCAGTCTGTCTTGCCCCCACGGCGCACAGGGAAGCAGTGGCCAAGCCAGAATCAGGTGGGGGAAAAACACACAGACACAATTCATCGTCGATCCCCAGGGAAATATTGGAAAATGTGGGAAGTTGGGGGAGACAAAAACTTAGAAAATATTAGAAAATATAAGGGAATCTGGCTATTTTTGTGTATGTATTTGTGCGTCCCAGAGCCCCTTCACAGAAGCTGGCCAGCCCGCCATCCGAGAGCAGCGCCACAGGCTGCAGGAGGCGCGAACGAGGCCGCGGAAGGGCCAGGCGCGCGGCCACCGGGCGGCGGGGGCCCGCCGAGGAGCGACCGGGCGGCGGGGGCGACGGCCTTGCGGCAAGAGGGGGGCGCATCAGGAGGGGGAAAGAACACACAAACACAATGAATCGTCGATTCCCCAGAAAATATGGAAAATATGGGAAGGGGGGGGGGGAAGACAGAAGCCCGGAGAATATGGGAAAATATGGGGAAACGGGTTACTTGTGTCTATTCATTTGCGAGTCCCAGTTCCCCTTCAGCGCAGGTCTTACTCTCCTCCTCATGGTGGCGGGGTGAGCCGCTCGGCCTCCGTGGGCGGCCTCCGCGCCAGATCGCTGGCGCCGTCCCGTCTGCTCGGGTCGCGCGAGTAGCCCGCAGGTCGCGCCCCGTCGGCGCGGCCGGCCACTCTTTTTCCCCATTCACTCTTGCCCAAAAATTGTTCCGTAGTTTGCACTCTGGGTGCACTGAAGATGCCTCCCCCGTGTCACGCAGGCACGTGGCAGTTCACGACCCGTCATGGGGCTCTAGGCTTGAATTGTATACCTTCGTTTTGTCAACTCTCTCACGCCTTTCTGGCTCGGCTCAGTTTGTGTGTTTATGTTTGATCCATGTGCAACCCGTCCCCACAAACGGCACTTTGCCTGACGCAGGGGTGCTCTGCACAACGAGGTCGATGCAGGTGTCAGGGCGTGCGCACGTGGAACGATCGAGGCAGTATTTCTAGTCTGAGCTCTCCATGTTTCTCTTCAGTCTGGCCTAGTCTCGCCCGCTCGTTCGCCGAGTTTTTGTTGCTCCGCCGTTGTGGAGCACGACGCGTAGCTGTCCCCGCCGCGTGGCCGATGCAGGCGGGCGCAAGCCTAAGTGGGGTCGTATTGCACACTGGGGACCCGCCACCTAGCTGCGGCTCGTGCTCACGGGGAGGAAAAACAAAACAAAAAAACCTTCAGCGCAGGAGCCCGCGAGGGAGACGGCCGAGGGGGCCAACACGCAGAGGGAGGAGGGGGTGGAGAGGGGAGGGCGAGGGAGAAGGAGCGAGTCGCAACGCCTCCGATGGGGGTGCGGGCGTGGGATGGCAGGATGTGGCAGGATGCCGATGCACGGAGAGAATCAGCAGCCGAAGGCGCCCCTCCCGCGAACACTGAGGGCAGCCCCGCCCACGGGGAGGCGGACCGGCCGGTCGGCCGTGCGAGCGGCTTCGCCACGTGGGCAGGAGCAGGGCCGCGCAGGCGTGGAGCGGCGGCCGGGCCCAGCGGCCAGACCCGCTGACTGGACTCGGCGCCGCGCCTGGCAGGGGCACTGGTGGTCCGGAATCGCCGAAACGACGCGAAGATCGGGACAAAATCGGATCGGGATTAGTCGAAATCTCTGAGAATCGGCAGGTCTGGAGGATGTGTTGGGCGCCGCGGCCGCTCCAGGGCGTGCCGGAACGCTCTGAGAGCGCTCCGGAACGCTCTGCGGGCCTGGGGCGGCAGCGAATTCGCCGTGGCGGGCGCCTGGGGTGCCCCGGGAGCACCCTTAAAACTGGGCTAGGATCGGGATAAATCGCTCCAGAGCGTTCCGGAGCGCTCTCAGAGCGTTCCGGCACGCTCTGGAGTGGCCGCGGCGCCCAATACATCCTCCGAACCCGCCGATTCTCAGAGATTTCGAGTTATCCCGATCCGATTTTGTCCCGATCTTCGCGTCGTTTTACCCGGGGCGCCCAGGAGCGCCCTGGGCCTGGAGCGGCAGCGAATTCGCTGTGGCGGGCGCCTGGGGTGCCTGGGGAAGACCCGGGGAGCACCCCTGGGGAGAGGGGCCCGGCAGCAGGGCAGGATGCCCTCGAGGCGGGAGCGACCCGGCAGGGGCGGCGGTCGGCTGGGCAGGGGCGACAATCTGGCAGGCAGCCCGAGTGCGGCATCGAACCCAGGGAGCTCCTCCTCCGCCTCCTCCTCCTCCTCCTCCTCCTCATCCTCCTCCTCCTCCGAGTGCGGTATCCCACCAAGGGAGCCAGCCTCCAAGCCGTTGAAGAAGCCAAGGCTCGGGTCTTCCACCGTGCCCGGCGTCAGGGGGTCCTCGCCGGGCCCCGGGGCCGTGGAAGCCGGCCCCTGGCAGCCCCGAGTGGGTCGGGCCGGGCGAAAGGGGGGGATTGGGAAAGGGGGGGGTACGAAATTTGCTGCATGCAGCTGGTTTCGGCCTCACCGGGGAGCCCATTCCTCGATACATAGCCGCCTCCGGCGCCGGGAGGCGCCGGGAAAATCGGCTACGTGAGCTGATTCTCACCCCCCCCTTTGCTATCCCCCCCTTTCGCCCGACCCGAGTGGGGCACACCACCGGGGGAGAGTCGGGAGGGACCACGTGGCACAAGCACAAGCATGCGCTGACTTGGGTCGAAGTAGATATGGGAAGCTTTAGACACGGGAAGCTCTGCGAGCCCGTGGGCCCCCTGGAAGGGAGGAGGGAGAAGAGCGCAGGAACGGGGCGCCAGGAGCGGAGCCACAGAGCGGCGGCCCACAGAGGGTCTCAGGCGGCAGCCGGGGCACTCGTGCCAGCTGGGCGGAGGCGGCCGGTCCTGCGCCAGAGTGCTGCGAT